AGGTAGACCTGTATTAGATTACTGTTCGCAAATAGTTAAGGATGTGAGTTGTTCTCAGTTTTGGGGAAATGCGAAGATTAGCTCAGGATAGGAAAGAGTGGAGGTGGGTGTTCAACTAACCGAGCGGCATGGCCTAGAGGTTTAGACCATTGCTTAGGATTCGAGAGGACACCGGTTCGATTCCGGGTCCGTCTGCCTTGGTCCAAGTTTTTCTGTGCATGGTTTCCTTGGATCACTTAGGCAAATGCTGAGGGAGTAATATTCCACAGATAATCTTTAATTCTCTTCTGTCTTCATTTCGTCCGTCTCAACTTTCTCACCCGAACCACCACCCACCCATTCCCACGATTCCTGAAAGCAGGCTGAAGGGGGCCTTCCGGCGTAGTCCGGAAGGACTGCCCGCCCACCAGCATTACTGGCTGGTGGAAATGAAACACCCAAAAGTTTTTTTGTTCAACTAGTCTTAGGACTGACGATCTTATGATAATGACTGAAGAAAAATATTATGTGTAGGCTTTAACTCTGAATTTCTTTAGTTTTCTCTGAAATTTATAATAGGCATCCGAACTTAAACAAACGTTAGGTAAGTACATTAGATGTTTTATCGATCGGCATATTTAAGTAAATGAATGTAACCAGGCATGTTGAAGTTTAATCAAAATTTGCGGGTCGCCTGGAGAATGCCTAAATAGTCTAAATATTTTAGATCGGGGCTACTTTAAATCCCACTTGACAGAGCATAAATTGAGAGCTGTTAAACCCTCTAGACAAAAGGTCGTGCCTGATAGATGTCTATTGTATTCGGTGAGATTTTCTGAACAATAGAATACTTCGCTTGCCAAAAGGCATTTGCGTCCGTTATTTGTGGTTGATCACTTTAGTGGCCACTTGTACCACCCTCCGACCGAATGGGCCAACATGGATTTTAATAGTATTCATATCTCATACCGCCCGTCCACTTCGATTTACGTATAATTTATTCTTCGAAAGCTGGAGGGCTCGACCGAATCAAATTCAACAATTTCAATTTGCAGGACAGAAAATGTTTGCTAAACAAGCTGTTCTTATTTAATGTGCTATGTAGTTACCTAGTTATTTATTAATTACAACAAGAAAATCAAATGGAATTCTGCGGAGCTGAACTAATTGTAAATAAATTACTGAAACCCAAAATTCCATATTCGGTTACCTAGAATACTGTTACAGTTAACTGTTTTTCGTGAACGGACCTTAAAACTTGTATCAAACTCAATACGTATTTCGTATAATTAAAATGCCATAGGGCGATAAGCATAGTGAATCTAGGTTAATCCTGAAAATTTTAGACCTCTATCTATTATTTTTATTTTTGAATAAATTCAGAAAAATCAGAAAATATTTTTTTTATCAAAAACGGCTTAACCGATTTGAATGAAATTTAAAGACGTTAATAGATTGTTATTTGTTATTATTAGTATTTTTTTGGTATTTAACTAATATCCACCAAAAGACACTAAACTATAATACATTCATTGATAGCCTGAAGGGAAAAAACCGTACAGGTTCCGTTTTTGCCATGTGAATAGAAACCTCTTCCAATGGTCTCCGTTTCCCCAATGTAGACCTGACGGGATTCACATTATTTACAGTTCTTTGTTTCTCTCTGTGTTGAAGACATTGCTTTCGCGAGATGATCACGCAAAGTGATGGGACGAGTAGAAGGCTGTCTTTATTCTGATGATGATCTTCCAATCTTGTTGGATATTCCTTTTACGTATGGTAGTCGTAGTAGTTATTTGTCCTATTGAAGTGTTAATGTTGATTTGTTGATTTTATATTGCTGTATTATGTTGTCCATCAATTTATCTCGATATCCATATTTCTTCAGGTGTATTTGTATGCTGAAGATTTCTTATTCTAGGTATTCTGGTGTGTTACATATTATGACGGCTGGATGGTACAAGTTTCGGTCTTTCAAGACCTCATTACCAACCTTCACTGCCCTTGTACATCTGTTATAAATACCTACAATTATTTACATCGTACTACTATTTTGTATCACAAACTTCTTAAGATTATCTTTACTTATTTCTGTTTCATTTCCATCACTTCATGACCAATCACACTGTTACAAGTTTTGACATGGCCCGGTGCCAATTCTTGCAACACTTTTTACATTGCCGCAGATGATCACAGGTATTGAAATAAGTACAAACAGTTCTTCTTTACGTTGTACCTACCTTACCGACCCAAATAGGTTTTTATTGCTGAAATAAAAACGTGTTTCAACCAATAAAAACCTTTCTATATAAGAATATGATTCTTATTCAACATTGCAATGGAAGAGAATAGCAAGAAGTCACGGTTAATTTAGAAATTCCAAGAAGATTGTTGAAGGTGTATGTTTAAAGCGCGGCGCTGTACGGTTGCGAAACATGGACGGTGGGCGCTGCGGAAAAGAAAAGATTAGAAAAGTTCGAAATGTGGTGTTACAGTCGAATGATGAGGATACTGTGGATAGAGAATGTAAAAAACAAAGAGGTATTTGAAAGATAGGAGAATAGAGGACTTTATGGAAGTCAATAAGAAATAGGCGGGATAGGTTGATAGGACACCTTCTCAGGCATAAAGGTCTAGTCAGAGATATATTAGAGACAAAAACGGGAGTTAGGAGAGGTAGACCTGTATTAGATTACTGTTCGCAAATAGTTAAGGATGTGAGTTGTTCTCAGTTTTGGGGAAATGCGAAGATTAGCTCAGGATAGGAAAGAGTGGAGGTGGGTGTTCAACTAACCGAGCGGCATGGCCTAGAGGTTTAGACCATTGCTTAGGATTCGAGAGGACACCGGTTCGATTCCGGGTCCGTCTGCCTTGGTCCAAGTTTTTCTGTGCATGGTTTCCTTGGATCACTTAGGCAAATGCTGAGGGAGTAATATTCCACAGATAATCTTTAATTCTCTTCTGTCTTCATTTCGTCCGTCTCAACTTTCTCACCCGAACCACCACCCACCCATTCCCACGATTCCTGAAAGCAGGCTGAAGGGGGCCTTCCGGCGTAGTCCGGAAGGACTGCCCGCCCACCAGCATTACTGGCTGGTGGAAATGAAACACCCAAAAGTTTTTTTGTTCAACTAGTCTTAGGACTGACGATCTTATGATAATGACTGAAGAAAAATATTATGTGTAGGCTTTAACTCTGAATTTCTTTAGTTTTCTCTGAAATTTATAATAGGCATCCGAACTTAAACAAACGTTAGGTAAGTACATTAGATGTTTTATCGATCGGCATATTTAAGTAAATGAATGTAACCAGGCATGTTGAAGTTTAATCAAAATTTGCGGGTCGCCTGGAGAATGCCTAAATAGTCTAAATATTTTAGATCGGGGCTACTTTAAATCCCACTTGACAGAGCATAAATTGAGAGCTGTTAAACCCTCTAGACAAAAGGTCGTGCCTGATAGATGTCTATTGTATTCGGTGAGATTTTCTGAACAATAGAATACTTCGCTTGCCAAAAGGCATTTGCGTCCGTTATTTGTGGTTGATCACTTTAGTGGCCACTTGTACCACCCTCCGACCGAATGGGCCAACATGGATTTTAATAGTATTCATATCTCATACCGCCCGTCCACTTCGATTTACGTATAATTTATTCTTCGAAAGCTGGAGGGCTCG